ACCCTGTCTCGAAAAGCCAAATATATATATATATATATATTTGCATGTAGGTATGTGTACCATGGGAGTGCCTGGTGCCAAAGGAGGGCATCTGATTTCCTAGAACTAGGGTTACAGCCAGTAGTTGTGAGCCCTGGTGCTGTGTGAATCCTGTGAATGAAACCAGGTCCTCTGCATGAGCAGCAAAGTGCTTTAAGCCCTCAGCGATGTCTCCAGGGGTAGAATTCTTTTTGTTGTTTTCCAGAAATCTTTTTTCCTCCCTTAATTACGTGTGTGTGTGTGTGTGTGTGTGTGTGTGTGTGTAAAGCACACACGTATCACACAAATGAATGTGGAGGTCAGAGGACAACTAGCAAGGGTTGGTTCTCTCCTTCCATGTGGGTCCCAGGGCATAATGGCAGATGCTTTTACCCACGGAGTGGTCTTGTAAGGTCCTAAGGTGCCAACTCTTGACCTCTTTTCTTCCCCATTACTCCCCTCTGCTCTGTCTCCCCCCCCCCTGCTCTGTCTTATTTATCTTACAAAACAGTCCTGGCTAGCCTGACACTTCCTACATAGACTAGGCTGGCCTTGAACTCAGAGATCTGCCTGCCTCTGCCCCCTGAGTGCGTCTATTACTTCACTGGGATGCGGGGATTAAAGATATGCACCAAATGGTGGAGGTGCATGCTTTTAATCCCCGCACTTGGAAGGCAGAGGCAGGTGCATCTCTGTGAGTTCTAGGCCAGCCTGGTCTAGAGAGTTCCAAGACAGCCAGGACTACACAAGGAGAAATCCTGTCTCTTTCAAAAACAAACAAACCAAGACATTCATCACCATGCTGAATTTATTTTCTTTATTGAGACACGGTACCATTTTCTAGCCCTGGACTGATCTGGAACTCTCTCTGTAGACCAGTCTGGTCTTGCCTGCTTCTGCCTCCTAAATGCTTAGATTAAAGGTATATGCACCACACATAACCTAGATAAGGTATCTTAAGAGGTAGACGCCAAAGTGTCATTTTCAGTTTCCCTCTAGTAGCTCAGGCTCAGGCTTGTGAATGGAATTATTGTAAAGAGCATTCATGTGCAGCTCAAGTGGTTTTGTAAGATAATAGATAAAGGTAAAGTAAATCTGATGAGATAGTAACACTGAATGAAGATGGAAAGCTATTTAGAAATTCACTATTACAAAGATCTGTGTTTAAACTTTTAATGTTTGTATCTTTTATACACATACACATGTGTGTGTGCGTATACACACACATATTTTTCAAGACAGGGTTTCTCTGTGTAACAGTCTTGGCTGTCCTAGAACTTGTTTTGTAGACAAGGCTGGCCTCGAACTCAGAGATCCGCCTCTGACTCCTGAGTGCTGGGATTAAGGGCATGTGCCACCACTGCCTGGCCGTTATTTTATATTTAAAGAAGGAAAAGTTGGAGAGAGGCTATGTTAGAATTCTAGATACTTGAACTACACTTGGCTGGGAAAACAGAAAAAAAACGAATTCGAGAGGTAGAAATCACATGACTTGCTAATAGACACGACAGGTCAGCTGTTGACAACTACTAGCATAAACAGGCAAACAAAACAAAACAAAACAAAAACCCCACCGGAAACGAAGGCAAGCTCCACCCTTCTCTTCCTAGATAGGGAAGTGAGGAAAGAACGCGACCAGTTGGACTCACACGCGCTTCCGGTGTAGTGTCGCGAAGAAATAGTAAATCCCAGGACCGCCTTTGGTCCCGCCCATAATGGGCGGTTCCGTGCAAAGGATTGACCAATAGTGATAGAGATGACGTGCTCTAGCCCAATGGTCCTGCAGTGGGAGGGACCTGTGACAGGGGTTCGAACTCTGGAGTTGTCCTTTCGGCCCACGTGGGGAGCTACGCGGTAGATCCGGCTTGAATTCCTAGTGCGGGAGAGTAACCTGCGGTGGAGATGGGGCCGGCCCCCGCCGGAGAGCAGCTTCGCGGAGCAGCAGGGGAGCCAGAGGTTGGTTGATCTCAGTAGGTGAAAGAGTTCCAAAATGTGCTTTCTTGGCTACAGAGCATGAGGTAGTCAGGCCTGACAGCTCGTGGGAGACTTCAGGGCGGCCCATCCTGGAGGAACCGCATTTCCACCATTCTTCTAACTTAGATCATTGGGTAAAGATTTTCAAGGAAGCGAGGCCTGGCAAGATCTAAATGCAGCAGGATTGGAGGAGATTTGTGGTATCTGGACCCACGAGGGCTTTGAAGCTCTGCTTAAGGCAATGAACATTAAATTAACTCAGCCAGGCCCAAGTAAGACAGCTGTCAGACTCATCCCCATGACGAACATCCCGAGTTGTCTAAAATCCGATGCCCACTGAAAGGGAGGACCTAGAGAAGATGAAACCTTTACCCATAACCTTTAAGCAACTGATGTAGGTACCTACGGTTTCATGTTGGCTTTTCCCTCTCTGGTCATAGGTTTTGGAGCTTGGCCTGGAAGAGGGGAGCAAGGAGAAGGTGACCTCCAGAAAGCGCGCAAAAACTGAGCCACCTGCAGACAGCCTCCTGCAGCCCGTGAAGCTCAGTCGGGCAGAACTGTACAAGGAGCCTACAAACGAGGAGCTGAATCGCCTGCGGGAGACGGAGATCTTGTTCCACTCCAGCTTGCTTCGCTTGCAGGTACTTACAGGCGACCCGGGCATGGGTGAGAGGGATTTCCCTGGGGTCCTGAGCCTGACAGGTTTTCCTTTTTCCCTCTCTAACAGGTGGAGGAGTTACTGAAGGAAGTGAGACTCTCAGACAAGAAGAAAGAGAGGATTGATGCTTTCCTGAAGGAGGTCAACCAGCGGATCCAGAGAGTGCCCTCAGTCCCTGAGACTGAGGTGAGAAGGGTTGCCTGGGGAATCTGACACTCTGCTGTTCTCCCAAGAGAGTGGGGTGCAAGGGAAATCATTGTCATTGCGAGAAAGCTGAACCGGGTCACCAGACATCCATGTATTTATCACTCAGCAACCTTGTGTATGGGCCGAATGGTAGGGCGCCCACCTTTGATCTCAGCACTCGGAAGGCAGAGACAGGCGGATTTTTGTGAGTTCAAAGCCAGTCTGTTCTACAAGAGTGAGTTCCAGGACAGTCAAGGCTGTTACACAGAGAAACCCTGTCTCAAACCCCCCCCCCCCCAA